TGCATATGCGTTGATGAGAAGCCACCCCAAATGTTGTTTTGGGCCGACCAACAGGGGGTTGATTTTTGGACTCTCGGGCAATAGCATAAGCATTTTTCGGCCAAGGGCGATCGCAGCCCTCAAATGCCAAAGGGGGCAGCCGAAACCAGCGGCAGCTGCAGCACACAAACACACGCACACACACGCGCGCACACATGCAGTGCTTGGATAAATCATGTGTAAAGGTATTTTGATTTTTTAGCCCGATGCGATAAGCGAATTGCAGCAGCTGCCAATGCGGGCAGCGGCAGCGCAGCTTCAGATGGAAAATCCTCATCGAACATTTTTTAAAATCAAATAAATTACACAGCGAATGGTCATAAAAAGAGAGAAAATTTTGATATCTGTTGCCATGTAAACTATGTTAGGAAGGAAAACAAGCGACTACAAATTTTTAATTGATTTGGCATGCTTCAATTTAACGCTTGGCTGCCACTTCCTTTGCAGCGCGAGTCCTTTTTGCATACACGTGCACGTGTCCTTTAATTGCCCGTTTTTAGTTTATTGTAATTTTCAATATTTTTGTGTATGAAAACGACGAAAAGGAAAATGCAGTCCCCGCTCTGACAATCGCTTCCGCTTTACGACACGCCAATGACTCACTGCGCACGGAACTCCTGATGTCCTTCACAGAGACTTGACGGCGGAACTGCGAGGCGGCGACGTTGACGGCGACGTCAGACGATGGCGCAATGAACGTCGCCTTGTCAGCGCAAGTCTTGATCCTGCTACAGGTAACACACACACACACACAGACATACCTTGCTTTCAGTGTCAGTCTCATTCCCAATTGGAGTAGCTGCCTTGGCACACGTCGCGGCTGAAAGAAACCCTCGACTGTCTTGGCTGCTTTTTGTTTAGGGGTTGTTAGCGGCAGAGCAGTGGAAATCCTCATAAGAAACATTCCGAAGGAAGCGAAGCAACACGTTCAAGACATTGTTGAGTCACCGCAGTCCCTTTTTGCGGCGGCATTTATGTGCTTCGCTGCCGACCCTTCTCAGCCTCAGTCTCAGTTTCAGTTCCACTTTGGGTTTCGGTTTCAGGCGCAGGCAGAGCCGCTGCTCGGAGCCGCCTTTCTTATCGGAACTGCAAGGTGCCCGCCTTTGTGAGGTGCTCGCTCGGCTTGCCCTTTTGGGTTTTCATTCAACTTTCGTCACTTAATTGAGCTGCGGCGCCGCAAGAAAAAAAATGAGAAGGGAATGAAATAATAAAAGGCAAGGAATAGGGCAAACGGAAAAGGGGCAATTCCTTTGGCTGGAAAGTGCCAATTGTAGGTTTCACTTTAGGCAGCTACAAATTGAAATGCCCGCAGAGAGTCCCTAGCGTTGGCTTTTTATTCATGTGCCTTTTGCTCAGCCATTGTCTTCGGCTCCTCACCTTGAGTGTGGTTCCTTTTTATGCTTGCTCTGCACCAGGGAAGCCATTAAATTGATTATAAAAAGTCTTCGAAATGTGTAAACACAATGTCAGACAGCTTGTCGCCAGAGCCAGAGACAGAGCGAGAGTCTTGAGCATGGACACGCTCTCACTCTCTTGCTCACCTCTCCCTCTATCTCTCTCTCCCTCTATCTCCCATTCGCTTTGCCAGCTAAGGAATGCTACTAATTACATGGGCGTTGCGGAGCCTGCCGAGGAGGGACTCGTATACGGATTGTGACTTGGGTCTTAAGCAGCGAATGATTCCAACAATGTGCGCAGTAAGCGACAACTTAAGGGTTTATCAATGGCAATAATGGAAATAGCAAGAGCTAAAGTGGAGGGCGTGCCGAGCTGCTTGAAGAAGGACGACATTTGATTATTGGAAAGGGAGGTCCTTGCACACTAAACGTGGGCAATTATTGGGCTAGCTTTAAGGAGGCCTTAAGCGCCGTATTAACAGTTTTATGGTCAAAATGATATTTGTTGTCATTTGAAGAAAGATTTCGACAAGATTTTTATCGAATGCTCATACTCCATGAATTAATTCCACTAATCAATTCCTTTGAAATTCCCTTGCTATCTCTTCGCAGCAATAGCTCAACTCTTATCGCATAAGCTGCTGAGGCGGCACTTCAATGGGCTCCGCGTGGCAGGCAGCTGATAGCAATCCAGCCGAGAAATCTGTCATGCGTTGTCATGTCTAGGACCAATTCCAGGTACAGTCATTTGCATGTTCACGGCTTGTTGGCCAGCACACGTGTTCGATTCTACACGGACTTTGGCTTATTTGCATGGGGCGGGGAGGGGGCGAGTAGATAAAGCTCGGCACAACTGTTCCAATCAACGAAGTTCTGTGTAAAAACATGTCATGTATGTATTTATTTATTTATGCAAATATGGAAATTAAGCTAACAAACTGCGCGCCGGGCGCTGCGCAAGCGCAAGCCGAACAAGGGAGCACGGGTAGAGTAAGGGGCGCATGGCACGATCCAGGGCACGTTCCAAAGGCAACCCTCGGTTAGATAACGGCACACACACAGACACACACACGCACGCACGCATTCGTACATACAGTCAGCTCGTAAATGCGTTTTTACATAACATTTACGGCTCGACTGCATTTGGGCTTTGCCCGTGTGGCAGCTGCCGGCGCTGGCTTTGCCAAAACGAGTTTATCCTTATCCAAGGCGCGGTCCATGGCCGAGCCGAGGCTCGCGTGCCACCAGCCCCTTGCCACCTCACCCCATTGCGACACATCGAGGCATTTGCGCTGCAGTTTCGGCTCATTTCGATGCTCATAAATAACGACAATGGCGGCGCGACGCGGCGCGGATGCAACAGAAACTCGAATAATAAAAGCAACCGAGATCCCCAGGTATTTTTCACGTGTTTGGCACGTTTCACTCGATTTTCCGGTTCCCGATTCCCATTCGGCATTTGTTCCTCAGCCCTCTAATCCTCTGAGGTGGTCGGCGGACGGAGAGCGGCGCACGCGGCACGCGCCCGTCCTCTTTGTGATAAATTGGGCTTTAAAGCAGGGGTCCACAGCCGAACCCACCCGACTCCATTGATAAATTGCCAAAGCTGTGCCAATGGACAGCTAAACTTTAGGTTTCCGTCTCCCTCTCATGAGTCCCTCACCTCCTCTCACTCGCTCCCGTGTCTCGCCTCTACTGTCTCCACATGGCAACATGCAATTGTTTGCTACATTGTCAAATAAATCTTAGTTCCGGCTGCGAGTCTCTTGTTTTATTTACAAAGTCGGCCAATTACATTAAGTTCACTGATACGCCTATATCATTTGTCAAAGTCGGCAGATACACAGTGTTTATTGTGTGATATTACGTATGTGAACTTGACAATAAATAAATATTTATACATACCTTTCATTTATTTATATTTATGTACGTATATATAAATATATTCTGACTGATGTATTTATATACACATATAGATATATCATTATGTAATACAAAGTTGTCTTACACACATATACATGCATACATACATACGTTAATGTATACACTTATAGATACATAAAATGCACACTTTTACATATATACATCCACTCTTACATATATTCCATATCTCTCTATATCTCTATATGTACATATGTATTTATGTACATACATTCCTAGATATATAGAATCCCAATAATACCAAATAACACGGACTCAGAGTATACGAATTACATGGCTATACGATTTATCAAGATTTTTATTTGAAGAGGCTTAACCAAATTCGATTTCGAACAGGGATTTTATGCTTTTTTTGACAATGCCTATCGCCCTCAGTTTGCTTCTGTTTCCAGATTAAACTCTTTTTGTGTAGGACTGATATGATTGTTGATGGAGTGACTTTAAATTGTTTTGCCACGTCAATTGTTTTTGTTGCATTATCAATGAAATCATCCTCAGCTGTTGATAGATTGATAGGGTCTTATGCGTACGTTTATTTGACATTTTTATAAATCGACTTAACACGTGTATAGAAATTCGTCAAACGAAGCGAAAACTTTTGAAAAAATGACGAAATTCCACATTTTTCACAACATGAAGATATCGTGTTTCCATGCAAAAACTAAAAAGTTTCGATATGCGTTGCAAATTGCAGAAGGTTCCGAATCAAAATTAACTTTTATAAGGGGTAACTTAATAACAAGGGTATAAAAATGTTCGGAATTTTTACGAATTAACGAAGGGCACAGCAGCTTTAACGAATTATAGGAATTTTGAAGTTAGTGAGGAACAAAATATTTCCACTGTACATACATAGATTAGAGGAATTTACATTCAATAATGTGTGTATATCGTATATATTTGTATTCCCTTATTCACTAATATTTATATAAATACTTAAATACTTACATATATTTATAAATGAGCACATATATTTATTAATTTATATATATGTACATACATACATATGTACGTGTATGCATATATAAAAACTATGCCTGTAGGCGTCTTATATACTTATACACTATATACTATATTCATACATATCTATATATCTACATCATATGCATTCATGTGCGGAATGCTAACTATGTTTGTAATTCAGATCATTGAATATATCAAATATTCACATTGTTGTTTATATATGTATATACATGCATACATACCAGTTTATGTTTTTACCCAAACTTGATTAAACCAAGTTTTTATACCCGTTTAGGATATGAAATGAGTATGATGGCTTCATAGACCTAAAATGTAACAGTTAGTTAACTGCATATCCCGTATTGGTATATTAAATATTGTGTATTACAGAGAATCATAATTGCGCACTTTTAAGCCGATAATCCGCAAGTTGATTCAGCTCCTACAGATCGAGCTATGTATATGACTTGGGACGTGCCCCATCGGAAAACTTTCAATGACGACTTTAAATTTAAATTGAATCATGTTTAAAGCTTGGACGAGTATTAAGCAGTCGGTCTTACATGTCTGTTTGCACCATTAACAGTCAGCACAGAATATGATGCATACATGGAATTAATTAATCGCACAACTAATTACTCGAATTCCTAGCTCAACAAATGGACTTAATTCTTGCAATTGATACTTGGAAATATTCAAGCTGAGCTATCAACTAAGTGGCACAGTTTGGTCCGTTTCTTGTTGATTCCAGAAGTCGAGCTTTTGCTCCATCTGCTCATAGGTTAGTTTCGTTGGCAGCACAGTCGGCTTCTCTGGGAGCCCCAAGGCCCGGAGGTGGTACAAGAAGAACTCATACCTATCATAATCATGCATTTTGGTGTAGTGGAAACTAATGGCCGTCTCGGAACAGCAATCGCTCATCTGTGAATATGAAATGCAATTACAGTAATCTATATTAATTCAATCCAAGCCAGGGGGGGGGGCTTACATTCGGCGTGAAGTAGGAGTAGGTCGTCAGCCAAGTGCCGTTTTGTATGCTCGGCATCAAGTGCCTGGGATGAAGGGGCAGGAATCTCTCGCGGCCGTGCTCATCCCTGGAGTCTCCGGCGGTTACGCCCACATTTAGCAAGCAGTAACCAATTTGTCTGTCCTCTGAATAGGTATTCAGCGGACAGAATTTTGTATTGTTCAGCGCGAAGAGGTTCAAGCGACGCAGTGCATCGCGACTGAGCACATAGCCAGCACCGCCGGACATGTAGCCGTGCGGATATGAAGTGCGAAACCGATGGCCAAAGAAGACAGCCGCCTCCGGGTCGAACGGGTAGAGGAACATTCTCAGATTCTCCATTATCACATAGCTGAGAGAAATGCAGTCAACAGTCAGCAGTCAGCAGAGAGAATGCGAATGCCGCAGCTTATGCGCCACTTACGTGTCGTCGTCCGCCTTGAGAAACCAGTCATAATCCTCCACGTAATGCTCGTAGGCATAGGCGAGCCCCGCCCGCACCTTGCTGTACAGGTTGTCACGGCTCTCCGACACATTCAGATTCACGGCGCCCAGCGCGTCGTCGTCTTCGCTGCTCATAAAAATCAGCTTGTTGCAGCGCGAGCCCCAGGTGGAGCGAACCTTTGCCGCCTTGGTCTTGTGGTGAGCTGGCATGGTCAGCACCAGGCAGAGCACGCGCGTCTCATGAAACAGCCAATCGGCCAGCGACGGCCTGGTGAGAGACGCGGCTGTGTCGGCCGCAATGGCCGTGCTCTCATACTCTTCACCCGTAAGCGTCATGTAGTCCCACAGCTCGGTCAGCTGCACGCCCACAATCAGGCCCAGCGCCAGACACAGCACATTCCGAAACATGCCGCCCGACCAGCCCGCACATTTGCCAAAACTTTCAACTGTGGGCCGTACGAAATCCTCAACACCGAGCGAAGTGCCTCTGCTTTCAGGTGCCTCGCGACTGCTCGCTCAGCTCGAAAACGGTCTCCAAATAAGTGACTCTTGCACAGCCGTGGGCTAAAAACGAGTTTTGATTTGTTTTGGCTTGTGAATCGCATAACAAATGAATTTCAATGCTCTGAAGACGTTCGCCGACTAAATTTAACAAACTATTCTGTGCTACATTCCCTTTCCAACTCCAAGAATAGAGGAAATTTCCAACTCCAAGAATAGAGGAAACGTCATTAAGTTCGAATAGCAAGACATGCATAGAACGTAAGTAAGACCCAAGCTTGACGTAGCGCTCTTCTCTTTTAATAATGTTGAATATTTTATACTCTTTTATCACACATAATCTATAGTTTTACGTTTTACAATATGAGGTTGAATCAAATATGAAAATAAATAGATATTGAATGCAATAACAATTGAAATTGATAACGAAATTGTTGCAATATATTTACTACAATATTATTTTCAATCAGCCTTTGAGCTATTAAAAAGAAAACTTGAATGAGTCGAAGATTTAATTGCCTTTAGCCTTAGCTTTATACCTAATTTCGTTTAATAGAGTCAATATATAGTCTAGACGTCCACTCGCATAACTTATATACCAATACTTAATTATTTTCAGGATCCATTTTTATTATTCATTCGAAAGAGTATTCAAGTTTCGGCTTGTCAATAAAACATCGATACAAATAGCTTGCTTATTTTGAGAACCGGTTTTGAGCGTCTTCGTGCCGTGTTGTTTTTGACCTACACACCTGAATCTGTTAGCGACTCTCTCAGCTTGTCTCCTTTCACTTTTCGTCCGCCTTTGCCCTTTAGTACACTCTCCCATATATGTATATCTACGAAAAGCAATTGATTTTGGTAATGGTATTATTTATTTTATTGCTAGTTTAATTTTCATTTTAGGTTCGCTTGATTTATCGTATTACAATTTATGTAGGTATGTTTAATCTTTAGTTAGTACAACATTTTTAATTCGTTTGTTTCAGTTTACACTAAATGTGGGCTAATATTATTACAAGTTCTTGCATTTTCATTCAATATGTATCAAAACGTGTTTGACTGTCTAAAGATTCATTCCGTTTTCTGTTTTGTTTCCATTCGCAATATGTATATTCAAAATTGCTTATCTTTCTGCATCGCCCGTTCCGACTTTCTCTTTCGCAATAGAAAATTCTTACAAAACATTTAACCTTAACTTTAACTTTAGGTTTGTTTGTCGTTTGCTTGTATACTCTCATAATTGTTTAATTATTACTTATAGTTGTAATTATTTATTACTTCATGTATATCTTATCTGTTTATCGTATTCGCTTTTATACGTTTAGTAAGTGCACTTGCCAATTTTCGTTTATTTTATTCTCATTCCATCTAGGGTCACAACAATTATCTCTCAAAAACGGGAAAACAAAGGTAAACAAAAATTGTCAGGCAACGGTTCATCAACATTTACGATTTTTATGATTTTTCGACTTAAACAATTGTTAATTTGTATTTAGTTAGTTACACAGCCTTAGAAACTACTTAAACATAAAACATATACGAGGGCTATCAAAACCGATGTAGCGCCAAAAGCAATATTAAAATGTTAAAAAAAATAACAATTTAAAAAAAATATATATAAAATTTTGCAAAATCTAGAAAGGTTTTTATAATTTGGGCCTGGCTTCCGGAGTATTAAATAATATTGAACAATAAAACAAACTTCACAAAAATTTATATCTATTACGTCTTTAGTTTCGGTAGCTTTTTGTTTTTGTTTTTATATGTATAGAATATATATATGCGATGTATGTTGAACATATTAGTTTCGCTTGAAAAAAATATATGTTTATGTCCTTATGAAAATTCATCATGATTTTCCTCAGCTTTATAGTTTTTCTTTACGTTTAAGTATAAATTTAATATATGTTCATTTATATGTAAATGTTTTATATGTAGAGTTTTGTTTACGTTTCATATGTTGTTAGCTTGGCTTTAAACTACATATCCTAATATTATTGTTTTTGTTTATTTTTACCGTTACTTCGCTACGCTTCTTAGTTTTGTGTTATTTTGAATCGATTTTAGTTTGTAGTTGCATTACTTATTCTTTTTTGTTTTTGTTTCGTTTTACATAATTTCCACGTATTTTTAGGAACCTATTTGTAACTAGCAAAGCACAGACGCTGTAAAATTTCTTTAGAAAAAAATGTTACTATAATTTGGCTTACAATTAATTCATATATGTGTAACATCAAAATATACATAGTACAATTTATATATTCATTAGTGTACACACAATATATATAAACTTATATATGCATTACATCTATTCTTTAATATTTCAAGAATTCTTGCTGTATTTTTTTTTTTTTTTTT